TCACAGCAGCCCTTCGTGCAGCCCTGTTCAGAGGCAGTGCCCACACCGCAGCTCACAGGAGCTTCTTACCTGCGGAGGCTTTCCGTTTCCCCCCCTGCCCCGCACCGTTCCACAGACGCACAGGTTTTGTCCCTACAACAACAGACGGTGTGTTGATGTCACAGACAGCAGCAGGCAGCACAAGTATTGTCCAGTGAGCCCCTGTCCCCCCAGAAAACAGAAAGACGCTGCTTTGACAGCCCAAACACAACTGACAGCTCACTTCTCACTGCCCCTTCCTGCACTCCCGATGGATGCTTACTTGACATCGCCTGCAGCGCCGCGATCTTCAGCTGCCTGGATTCCTGAGTTCTCCTTTTGGAGTGGAACCTACAGAAAGCATCAACAAGGGAAACATCACGAGGAAGAAGCATTTTCCCAGCTTTCTTCTGCCATGCAATGTCGTCTCTTGAGGAAGGCAATGCTTGGAGGCCAGCTGGCTGCAAGGACTGCCTGCCCATCACTGGCTGCAGCTGGGGTCTGGCTGCCATGGCTTCTGTCAGCAGGTGCCCCCAGGTCCCCTTTTCCCCCACAGGTGTGCTGACCGCCCATGTCCCCAGCTGGGCTCCTGGCTCTCTGCCGTGATTCAGCGCGGTTTGCTGACACACCTGCTGGGTATGGCACACCAAGCAACCCACGGAGCAGGGAGGCACAAGTTGCACCCGATGAAGTCTGCGCTCTGCTTCCTTTTGAAGGTCTGACATGAAGGGGGGGGCGGCAGCAATTTTCCAGGGGAGGAAGGACCTCTCATCATCCTCACTGAAACGTGGGGTGGAATCCGAACAAGAACCATTTCCCCTGCAAACAGCCGTGCTGAGGGGCGCCGCTGGAGCTGGGAACTCCTCCCCAGCCCAGCTTTTCTGCTGAGACACCTCCCGGCACCCAGCCAGCACCAACCCAGCTCACCTGGTCACTGCCCAGCCGGAGCGGTGCCCAGCTGACGCACACGCCGCAGCGCTGCTCCCAGTGGGCTCGAAAGGAGGATTTCTCTCCAGAAAAGCACAGAGCTCAGTCTCCGTGTGCACCACGCTCACCAGAGCACCAGCTCTGCTCCAGCTGGGCCACAAACAGCCTGGCAACCACTGTGAGCTCAGCAAGCGCCTGCATCACCGCTGTGCTTTCATCATAGGCAAAGGAGCGGTCACCTCCCAGATCCAAATTGTAGGAAACGTGGGACTGACCAATGGGGTGAATGGGGTTCATTGAATGGGGGTGAATTGAAGGAAAGCAGCAGAGAAGTGAAGATACCCTGGTGCAGCCCAGTAAAAAGGCAGGACGTGTTCAAAGAAGGGCAACAAAGCTGGTGAGGGGTCTGGAACACAGGCCATATGAGGAGAGGCTGAAGGAGCTGGGAATGTTCAGCCTGGAGAAGAGGAGGCTCAGGGGAGACCTTATTGCTCTCTATAACTTCCTGAAGGGAGGTTGTAGTGAGCTGGGGGTCGGCCTCTTCTCTCGTGTCAT